GTGAGGGTCAGATGAGTGACGTGAGGGTCAGATGAGTGACGTGAGGGTCCATGAGAAGGTAAACGAGCGCTTGGTCGGCTTCCAAAGAAATGGCATAAATATATTGAACAGACAGGGTTTACTAACTGGAGTTAGACATGCTGGGACTAAAGGACTTGGATTAGCTGCTTCTGGCGTTGGGAGCATCCCAATTACATCTATAACGTGAAATTACGTAGTGATTTTCCTGGCGGCCTTGCTGTCTCGGTGTGTTTCTTGCATTTCGGATTCCCAGAAATTTTTTCACCTAAAAACTCAACGAATCAGTTTTCTAAGAACGATTTTGAATCGCCACCCGAACTTGCTAGCTGCTTGTTGGCAGTGCATTCACTGTGTTGCTACGGCACCAGCGGCACTGCCCCCGATGAGTTGTTCATATTTTTATGTTAGCCATATTGGCGCATTTCAGATTCAGCGTTCTGCTGCTGTGTCAACGCCAGTTAAACAGATGGCTTCACCTAGCGCCGCCGCTCCTACAGTCACTAATGTTTGGGTGCAGCGTGCTGCGCAACGGCAGTCTCAAAAAGGTTGGTGGCTTTTACTTTTTCAAATTTCTTCTTATGAGCAGTATCTGTTTTCTGTCAAGATATGTGAAAAGATCATTTCCTTATGGGATTGTAGTGATGAAATGAAAGCATTTTCAGTAGTGGGTGCAATTGGTTCTGAAATGAAGCAAAAAATGACAGCAAATGCGGAGCAACAGGAAAAACAGGAAAACCGAGAGCATCGCGAAACACCGTTGGCAACACATCCAGAGAATGAGACGGTATACGGCTGTTAAAGTTTTAAAGTTTCAGCAGTGCAATGCAGCCTATCATTTAAGCACATGCAAGCAAATTTTATAGCTAATTGCTTCATATTTTTTAGGAAGACGCTAAAAAGAGTGTGGTGAAGGAGTTTAATCGTGCGCCAGGTCATGCAAGACCTTCTTCAACACGTGCCTCGAGTGCTTCTGTGTCACCACCTGTTGGTTCGTTTAACGCTGTGTTACATCAATTCTGTCATGTAATGCAGGTCTAGTGATTTAGAAGGGTTATGAATTATAGCAGTGAAAAACAGAAAAGCAAGTCCTGTGGGGAGGGGACAGGAAGGGGCTTTGCCTGAAAGAACGAGTATCCGGTACCGGACATCTGGTTTCGTTTATACCGAGCAAACTCTTGGAAGAATCTTTGCGGAATGTAATCGCTTTACTGGTATGATAATACCAGGAAACTGAATTTGGCCAATTTCTGAAGTTAAATGGATGGGGGAAATTATGTCATCCATTTAGAGCTTTTGCAATTGTTTCATGGCTAGTTAGTTTCGGCATACGAGTATATGGGAGGGCCAGGTACAACAATGATGCGCCCGGTTCATCTGTCTGGCTGCAGCTGTTTTCGGCCACAATGTCATTTTATGCAGTTCTTTTAAACCAGCACACCGTGATGTTCAGCTTCATCTCCTGTTGATTGGTGGTGTCTAAGAGTCCAGTTTAGAGCAAGTTTTTGCTCCGATAATACTTTGCATCCGCAATATGATTTAAAACATACAGCCGTTCTGACACTTAACTAGTGTGTGCGCAAAAAACCAAGAAACTTGCACGGGCTCATGAACATTGTTGGGATGTGCTGCTAAAAAGTTTTCCTCAGGAATCGGTGACGCTGTAGAAGTTGAGGCCCCACATTCAACAGTGATAAGTGATAGCTAACTTCCATTTATGCTTAGAAACGGCAAAATTTTAACAGTTGCTAATGATCAGTAGACTAAGAATTTATTTGATTTGTTACAGGCCTGACTCCGCCGGTGATTACCTCTGCTGGCAGCGTTTTAAGTTGCAACACACCGAGCTCGGAATTATCGACTGCTCGCTCAGCGAGTGACGTGGATTCGCGCTCTGAGACGTTCGTCGTTTTTTCTTCTGATTTTTCTTCGTCATCACCTCAGCTTTCGCACACGCATTATTTGTCTTTTAAGTGATCTGCGCGTGTATGCTGTCAGTAAAAGCGTTGTAGCTCTTCGTCTGCAGGAAGCGCAATTATTTGTTGGCAAATAAAACGTGGTTACTAAAGGCTTTGCGGTACAGCAAATTGGTAGTCATGCTGATTACTCCTAGCAGCAGCAGACGCTTCCTTTGGCTGGTGTTCATTTTTCCAAACTTGCGCAGTATATATGCATGCTGTTTTCTTTTCAGTGAACGAAAGATCGTGTTTCCCCTGAATTCTCCCGGCGCACTGCCATCTGCGTCAGGTAAAGCTTCTAGTCAATTACAGTGTTATTTTTTGTTCGGAAACCAATTTATTTTTCTGCTTTATTGCGATCTCTGTTTGTAAACGGCAATAGGCTGATGACAGATGTTTAGATCTGGTAGAACGTAAATACGACGCACTCACTGATGCAAACACATC